ATTTTGGATATCTTTAAGAAATCATGAATTAAAGATATCTGCAATATAATTATGACTAGTCAAACACCAGTTAGAGATATCTTGAATTATAATTTTGACTAGTGTTAATTCAGTTAGAGATATCTCTAATTTAATTATCACTAGTAGAATTGTAATTTGAGATATCTCTAATTAGAATTATGCCTAGTACAAAATCAATTAGAAATCTTTAATTACAATTTCTACTAGTCAAAACTCTTTTGTAGATATCCGAAAATATTTTTCAATGGAAGTCAATGGAACAATACGACTAGTCGTAATAGCATTGTAGATATCTCAAATGTATATTATGACTAGTCAAAATAACATTGTAGATATATTCAATGCATATAATGACTAGTCATAATCACATTGTAGATATCTTAATTCCAATTACGACGAGTCAAAATTGCAGAATAGATATCTGGAATTGGAATTTTGACTAGTCAAAACTAAATTATGACTAGTACAGCAAGGAGTATTTAATGCTAAAACGGCTTGCCATACGTCAATTCTACGCGGACCGCAAGCGTTGTGATTGGTCTGCATGAACCCCTCCCTCCATATGTACTTGAGTTTCGTGTGTGTTTGTGTGCACTTTAATATATTTTAATGTTACACCTTCTTATATAAAATAGAACAAAGCAAAGAACAAGTGTCTTATCATTTATTATACTACATAGCATTATACATCAGTAGTTGTCCGCAACAAATAATGTTGATCTGCCATGGTACAAGTCCTTGTGCAGATTGAACGAATGCCATCATCTCCTGTTCTGTTGTTGTCTCCTTTTTATAATTTTAAATAATGATTTGATATTTATTTGCCGCCGTCACGGCTATAATGCTTCTCCGACGAGCCGCTTCTTCTTCGGCTTTTTCCGTGGTACTGCGGGTTACACCAGCAACATGCCCGTGGACACTGCAGACTAGCGGTTTGCATGTGTACTGCACGTTGACGCGAACAGCGACGCAGAAGTATAAATGAAAACTGATGCATAGCCTACGGCGTAGGTCCGACGTACGCCGTAGGCTATGAGTCAGTTTTTGTTTTCCTTCAAGGCGGTGTTCATTAACTAATACTCAAAAAATATACTGCAAAATTATAGAGTAAAATAAAGTGCAGGTTTATATCACAATAGTTGTCATAAGGCAGCTGATCTTACCTCTAGTAGTGCAAATGTCTGGGAAAATTTAAGTGTCCTTGCTATATTTTTGTACAAGCCTTTATGGGTGCCTTTCTGAAGGTAATACCGGACCATGACAACAGCCAGCACAAGCCATCTGCAATAAAAGACCAATAAAATAATAAACTTTGACTTTAACACCAACACTAATTAAAATGCCTATAATGTATGTGGTATAGGCTGTTCTTTTCACCTTAATTCCAGGTTAAGATACATACACATAGTATATGTGTATAAGTAGTTAGTCACACTTTTATGCATGAAAGTCATTGCACAGGATAATAAAATATCAAACTAAGTGACATTTCTATTAAAGAGAGGTAGCACTTGCATATTTTAAGTCAAATCAGTTAACAAAAAATACAGCTTTCTACAATTTAAATTAACAATAAATATGTAGTTAAAATTTAAAAACAAAAGATATTTGCACGCACTGATTTTCTATCAAACATTAGTAAAACATATCCATGGTTCATGTACTTTTGGGTACAGTTTATAAGCCATGTCATTTCCCATGCTTAAACATTAAAGAATTTACAGCTTTAGTGATGGATATGAGAGCAAGTTTCGTTGTCATGTAGAAGGTTCTAGAATTTAGAGAAAAAGCAGTCTACACTAATCTAGTTGCAATGGCAATTTAGAACATCCAGAGATTAAGTGCCTTCCTCAAGCACACACGTATGTGGTTGTAGTGGAAATCAAGTATTATTTTTATCCCACCACAAAGAAAATAATAATGTCTAATGTGAACTACAAATAAGTAGGGAAAAGCATGGATATTGTAACAAACTAAATATCTTTATTATCTATATGGAAGACAATAAGCACAACATTTAGGGAAAAAGTACAAGTAAAGTACACTTTATCAGCTTACTTTTAAAAAGAGTACTATTACGGAAATTATATATATATTCAAATAATTTAAGTGCAAACTGAATTAAATGTTTTTGGGACATTTGCACGTTAATTGCAATTACATGAAGAATTAACTTTTATGGTTTACATTTATATTAAATTAAGTTAGCTTAATTTTAGAGACCTTTTTGATCCACTTAACTATGACTTAAATACATCTAGAATTTCATAATCACTTATTTTGTTTCTGAAATATAGCTAGTGTACTTCTGAATGATAAAAAACATTTTTAATTATAATTAAACTGAAATATACTTTAATGTCATTTTTACTGAATCTTGTCATGTATTTATGTGGCATTGCACATTTTAAGTTGGGATTTTGAACATTTAAAATGCTGTAACTGTTAAAGTAACATTCAAAAACACAGTACAGTTAAAATTATAATATATAAATACTTAACATGTGTTTTATTGTGTCTTTAAGTCCACACCGGTTTAGAGCACGTAAGTTAGTTGAACTGAAAAACGGGTGCACTGCGTTTTCATTATAATTATCGTGTCTTTCACTTTTCTTAGTTACATTTTGTCTGTCGAGCATTTCGCCATGCCGGGCCAGAGTTAAAGTGTCAGCGCTAAACATATCACAGCGACAGTCGAGGAGAGACACGTGCAATACAGTCAACCGTATTAGGAAAGGCTAAGCACCCTTCGGTAGCTGTGAAGAATACTCCTGTTACTTTGTAACAACTGACCTTTATCAAACAAAACTAACAATTACGTACGCGCACTGTGAGTGTTTAACACAGTCTATCTTGAAGCTTTTAAAGTAGTCTTTGGTAACCTAACAGCTAGTCGAATTATTTACAATGGTCAGAAACTATAAACAGACACACGATTGCAGTCAGCGAGTACATTGAATAAAAGCAGTTTAAACTTAAACTTTCACCGGCAAGTACCCAGCTGTCATGGCAATATTGTAGAACGTGAGCCATGCCGTTGCGATGGCGCCTTTCGTCCGCTTCTTGTTGTTGGTTTCTTTCTCCTCAACAGTTCTGTCCTCCTCGCCAGACGCCATGGTACCGGTACAGACTGCGAAAGTCACAAAAACACTGCGCCAGCACAGCTGTCGGCGGGGGTTGGTCATCCTTCCACGGTACCCTGAAGGAGACATAGGCTACTGCATGAGTGTCAACGGAGGAAAACAGACACGCTTTTAAATGCACTTTTGCACATCGGTAAATATATATATATATATATATATATATATATATATATATATATATATATATATATATATATATATATATATATATAT